TTCAGGTTGGGACTATTATGAAAAAGACTGCTTGTAGACTCCTAAAGCGCAAGAAATAAAATCAAGAATCAATAAATGGGATGGATCCAAACTAAAAAGCTTCTTCTCAGCAAAAGAAACAATCAATGAGGTGAAGAGAAAGCCTACATTTTGGGAGCAAATTTTTGCCACACGCACGTCAGATAAAGCACTAATCTCCAGGACATATAAAGAACTTGAAATAACTTAACACTAAAAAAAAACCAAACAACCCAATCAATAAATGGGCTAAGGAGCTGAACAGACACTTCTCAGAACAAGAAATACAATCAATCAATAAATATGTAAAAAAATGGTCAACATCTCTAGTAATTAGAGAAATGCAAGTCAAAACTACTCTAAGCAGAGCACTTGCCTAGCATGTGTGAAACACTGGGTATGATCCTTTGCACCACATAAAAATAAACATATAAAATAAAGGCATTCTGTCCATCTAAAACTACAAAAAAAAATTTAACAACTAAGATTTCATCACACTCCAGTCAGAATGGCAGATATCAAGAATACAAGCAATAATAAGTGTTGGCGAGGATGCGGGGGAAAAGGCACACTCATACATTGCTGATGAGACTGCAAATTGGTGCAACCAATCTGGAAAGCAGTATGGAGATTCCTCAGAAAATATGGAATGGAGCCACCATTTGACCAACTATCCCACTCCTCGGTCTATACCCTAAAGATTTAAAAACAGCATACTACAGTAACTCAGCCACTTCAATGTTTATCGCAGCACAATTCACAATTGCTAAACTATGGAAGCAAACTAAATGCCCTTCAATAGACAAATGGATAAAGAAACACAATGGAATATTACTCAGCATTAAAAGAAAAGAAAATCATAGCATTTGCAGCTAAATGGATCGAGTTGGAGAATATCATGCTAAGCAAAGTAAGCCAATCTCGAAAAACCAGGGACCAAATGTTTTCTCTGATAAATGGATGTTAATCCATATGGGGGAGGCATGGGATAAGTGGAGAAACTTTAGATAGGGTAAAGGGGATAGGAGAGGGGACAAAAGGGTAGGAAAGATGATGGAATAAGAAGGACATCATTACCCTAGGTACATGTATGATTGCACGAATGGTGTAACTCCATGTACGCTAGAAAAGTGAAAAATTTTGCTCCATTTATGTTCAATGAATCAAAGACCATTCTACTGTCATGTATAACTGATTAGAACTAATAAATAAATAAAAAGACTGCTTGTACATTTGTGTACATGTGTCCTGGTATATAAACCTGGTAATGGAATCACAGGATTCCATGATTTGGTTCCCAGAGAAGTGCCTATGTACATTAAGAGAGGATATTCTCATTGGACCCCATTTAACCCCTGTGGAATGGGCAGCTGCATACAGGAGCATTGCCATAGTCATCATTACTGGGCAAGACTTACAGTGTAGGTTGTTGACCTGAGTCTGAAGGTGACTGAGATTTGAGTCACTGTGGTAACACGTGTAAAAAGCTGTGCCTCACAGAGACTCTTGGGGTTTCCAGGGCATCTTGTGCCTCAGTTCAGCAGTTTTTGCAGTCAACAGACACAACCTAGTATCAGACCAAAGTTCAGCCTCAGGGCTGCCCATTAGCTATAGCTAGGAGGCCCTGAGACAACCAGGGCCAGCAGATGGCACTCTTTGGAACTAACAGCTCTGGAATTCAGCTCCTAGGGACCCCCTGAGTTCTGCTGGACTAGAAGTAAGCACAGAAGGCTTTCACAACTCTAATTAGCACAAGTGTGGGATAGTTTTCATTTGTCCCTCCAGATACACTCTCCACCTTCTCTTCTCTGTTCTGCGCATATGAGATGACAGCAAGGACCCTTTCAATAGCTCCCTAGCTCTCTGCTCCACTTGGGGTCTGTTATGGTTTAGATATGGTGTCCCCCAAAAGCTCACATGTGAGACAATGCAAGAAGGTTCAGAGGCAAAATGATTGGGTTGTGTCACGATGGGCAAAGGTGCCACATATGCAGTTGAGGGGAGAAATAAAGAATGTCCACGTGCTATGCCCTTTTCAATGTTTTATTCACTGAAATCACTCAATACAATTTACTCAATAGGTTCTTAATCAAGAAATGACAATCCTTAATGCTGGGCACTGCAATAGACATAATCAATTCAAAGCAAACAATTCTAAGTTAATTCTGAGCACTGCAAACACACTTAATCATGAGAGACCTATTACAGACATTACCTCTGCATGCTAAGTACAAATGCCAGATGTAAAATCTTAAGCCTTAGGCCTTAAATCCAGCAAATGCACACTCACTCAGAGCACAGCGATCAGGTCAGCAACCAGTGGAGGCTTCTTCTGGAGGGGAGTTGACAGCTGGTTAAGGAGATGGTCATAAGGAGAAGTCACCATTCTCACCAGAGTTAAGAGGCTGCTATAGAGTTTGAGAGAGGTGAGGATGATGCAGAGGATCAGGCAGATGATGAGAAGAGTTGGGATGTCAGTTCAGATCCTCATCAGGCTCTCTGGCAAGTGTATATCAGTATCAGCTGGCTGAATGTCTGCCCTTTTGCTCTATTATTTATACTAGTTTTTGGAGCTTCTACTCATCCTTTGGGTCCCTATCAATTGTTACCAGGTTTCTTAGTGACATTTTACATTTCAGAGCAAAGACATATGGTTTGGTGGCTTCTGCCCTGATTTTACACTTTGACTCTCTTCAGGGTTAAGGCAAATGACATATTTATACCAGTGGCTTCACTCTGACTTTGAGTTGTGGAAAGAGATTTGTTTATGGCTTGTTTGTGACTTGTTTGCCGGGCTATGCCTGATGACATATTGGAGGGCTCTGTAGGCTTGTGCCTGGGGAGACTGCAGGTCTTATAATAGACTTGCTTAGGCCTAAGGTCATCCTTACAGGTTGTGAGAGTCTTAATCCAATCAGTGAGTCGATCCCCTGATAGGGGTTAACTGAGCGGTAATTGAAGTTGTAGGGTATGGCTAAAGGAGGTGGGAAGGGAGGGGACGGGCGCACGTGGCTTTGGGGTATATATTTGTATCTGGCAAGTGGAAATTTCTCTCTGTTTCCTGATCAACATGTGGGCAGCTTCCCTCTGCCAATTCTTCTGTCATGAGCCCAAAAGAATGGAGTCTGAGGTCTATGGATTGAGACCTCTGAAACAGTCCTCACATCTTTCCTCCTCTACAGTTGTTCTTTAGTCACAGCAGCAAAAAAAGCTAAAACAGAGTCTATCAATGGAGTTTGGCCACTACCACAAGAGAAGTCAAGGAGAGGGGTTGGGAGGTCATTTATTTTCCTGATCCCCATTCTTCTGGGTCAAGAGGATGGTCTGCTTCCCTTCTAGAGATGGAGTCCTATTAGACACCTCTATCCATAAAGCATCTGGACAGCTTGAGTACACTCTCCTCTCTCTCCTTCTCTCTCTCTTTTTCCCCCTTGGAAACTACATCTCTCCTCAGTTACTAAGACCAAGAGGCTGCTCCTTGTTGCTTTTTCTGACCCTACCCATATCTCTTTATATAGTCCCTTTGTTAAACCCTCTTCAAATTATTCAGCCTAAGTAGGCTATTTCCTGCCACCATCTGAACTACTTGCAATTGTCATTAGATGGTTGCTTTTGTGTCTCCTTAATTTTTTTTTTAGGACACAGAGGAATGTGAACTTGGTAAACAAAGGAGGTGCAACAAAATGTCTTCGCTGTAGTCTTTAAACATACCTTGGGAGTGAAAAACAGAGTGAATAACCAGACTTTCTGCTAATCATTTATGATTTGAACATTGAGAGAAATATGAAATTATTTTTATTTTTATTTGCACTGAGCTGGTAAAACAACACATGACTGTATTTATTTTATACATCTATTTCTCTTACCAGCCTAGGAGTGCCTGGGGGGTAATATTCAGCTCTTAATGAATATTAATATTATATCAACCTGCAGATTGTAGATGTTTAAAAAAAAAGTTAATTGACCATAACTGAACTGTAAAGATCTGTCTCTTTGTCTTTGTAACTCCCTATCAGAAATCTCATCCACTCAGGCTAAGTATAAAAAATAAAGTCAGGCAGGGATAATTGAAATAGTCATAAGTAACTGTTTTTATGTCTTCTTGTTTTCTAAGACATAGAGTAACAACTATTTGATAAAAAAAGGAGGTCGTGCAAAATGTCTTTAGAAGGGCTTTTAATCAAATATTGTAAATGATGCATAATTAAGACATCGTTTTAAGGCAAACGGGCACTTAAAAGGGGGTGTTCCTTCCTCTTAAGTAATTTCCCTGACAAGAGCTAGATTAAATAGCAGGGCCATACAGCCATTACATATGCTAATATGGCCAACTCTATATTTGACACCGAAAATCATCTCCGAAATATTTACGGAAACAAAAGTCCAGGTCACAAAACAATGTACAGCATGATCCCAATTTCATAAAATATTGATTTCCGTCTACACTGGAGATGGAGAGTGTTTGGCAGAGTTGTTTTATTGCCTCTTGGTATGTGAAAGCGTGGATTTATTTTGTTTATTCTTTTTACAAGTATATTTTTTATAAATGAATGCGTGGTTGCCGTTTCCACCGGTGGAGGAAGAGCAGGAGCGGCCGCTGCAGGAGGACTGCAGGAGGAGGTGGTCCAGCCGCTCCCTGCTGCCGGAGGCGCTTCACCTCTTGGCGGTGGGGCGCGGGGTGCGCAGAGGTGCCCGTGGGACGCACCCAGGATGCGGCGAGCCCCACGCACGGAGAGGGAGGAGGAGGAGGCCGCGCGGCCGGGCGGGGGCGGGTCCACGCTCTGGCGCCGGCCGGCGGGGCCCGGAAGGCGACTGGAAGGAGCCGTGTTGGAGCCATGGCGGCGCCCGGCGCGCTGCTCGTGATGGGCGTGAGCGGCTCCGGAAAGTAGGTCCAGGAGGCCGGGTGCAGGGGCACCTGGTGGGGAGGCGGGCGCCGCGGTCGGCCGGGCGGGGACCCGAAGGCCCTGGGAGCCCGTGGCACCTGCTTGTCCACCTTCCAACCCGCCCGCCTAAGCCCCGGCCCGGGACCACGGGAGACCTTGGGTCTCTGCGTATAAAACCCAGGCTCTAGCCACGCCGGCCGGGGTCAGGAGCCCCTTGTAAAGAGGCCGCTTGGGCAGAGTGATTGACAGGTTACCAACGTGAGGGACGGCGGTTCCACTCCACGTCTCAGGAGGCTCTGAATGCCCGGGGTTGGGACGTTTTGTCAGGGCCGGAGCCTGCAGAGCCCACGTCCCAGCCTCTTTCAGACGTTTGTCGAACTGGGCGGACGGCTGCCCCCTTGTGTGAGTTTGTGGACTTTTCTGATTTGGTTTTGTTCAGTGAACGTGAAGATCTGGTGTTTCCCCCTTTCTTTGATCAGTATTTATCAAGTTAAAATGAAAAGAGACCCTGTTAATATGGAGGGTGGCTCCTGGGAGTTTGGAGAGAACTCTGGAAAATATGCAGATTCTACCCAGCCAAGTTGCTGGCCCATTTGGGGATTAGCTTTTGGCTTCCTGATAAAACCAAAATCTGTGTCTTTTATTAAAAAAACAAAACCAAAAAAAAAATTAAAAAAAAAAAAAAAATCCTACCTACTGCAATATCCAACGACAAGCAGCAAAGACAGAACTTAAGAAAATAGCTTTCTAAGGCCTAACAGTATCCTTCTAGAATTTTCTGAATCACAAACTACCTATTTGGTCAGAAGTGTGTTAAAGGCTTTTGTTCCAGGAAGTAAATTATAGCTTTCCAAAATTATCTTGATGTTTTGAACCTCAAAGACAGGAAATCTTATATTGAAATTGAAATAAAACATAGAGCCCAGGACCCTCAGTAATAAAGTACATGCCTGGCCTTTGAGCCCCAGCCTTTCCCTCCACCGCCCCCCCCAAAATAAAACAATTTGAAAATCCCTAGCTGTCCTATGATTTGAAGAAACTAGAAAGTATAAAATTATTGTCATACTGTGATGTAGTGAGATCTGAGTCCTAGGTCTTAGATCTCATGCTGCCTGACTTTATGAACTTGAGCAAAGTGTGAGCCTTGAGTCAGATGAGAGGTGTCTGAATCATGTTATTTACAGCTTATAATGTACTCAGTAACTATTTATTGAGCTCAATCTTTATGTCAGTGTCACATAGTAGACAAGACAGATGAAATTCCTGTCCTCAAAAAGTTTAGATTCTAGTATGGCAAAGGATAAATTAAGGACACCTATACAGTGTTCGGGCTGGGGGTGTGGTTCAGTGGTAGAGCATTTGCTTAGCATATGTAAGACCACCGTGGGTTCAGTCCTGGTAAAACACACAAATCTCAGTGTAGGATATGGTGCATTGGATGGGCCTTTTAATTCAGTGGATATATCAAGGGATCATTGCATATCCAAGTCTGGAGTTAAGAAGAAAGGACTTTTGATGTAAAATGTGGGAATCACTGACACGTGGATGTATTTAAAGACATGAGATACTGAGATCACCATGATAGTATTGAAGTAGAAACTAGCAAAGGACTGAGCCCAGAACACTCTGATGGCTAAAGATCAGAGAGATGTGTCAGATGTTGCTGACTGAGTAATAAAATGACTGAGAATTGTTATTTTTTATCGTTAGGATGTAGCAGCAGTGAATTCTTTGATGATTTCTATGAATTCCTCTTAGGGCCCTGCAGGATTTTTAATTATACTTCATAACATTTGGAAAAATAATTGCCATGGCCTAATGGCTTAAGAGAACAATAGTCTCAAAACAGGAAGATTCCATTTAAAATGTTGTCAAGAAGTTTACCTAGTTAATGTTTTTACTGTGTCCACCCCCCACCACCACCAATGTATGAAATCTTTTTCATTTACTGATATGTGTCCCAAGCAGTGCCTAGCAGATAGTAAGTGCTCAGTAAATATTTGCTGACTTGAAGAATAAATGAATGAACTATTTTAATAGTAGTACTGTTAGTTTTTTTATTTTTTCTTTGGTTCTGGGGATTGAACCCAGGACATTATACATGCTAGGCAAGCACTCTACCAACTGAGTTACATCCCCAGCCCAGCTTTCTTTATATTTTGACAGTCTTAGTGAAGCCACCCTCATCTTTGGTGGATCAAGTGGTCCTTTCAAATATGTTTATTCTGCATCCCTTCCTTTTCCTGCTAGTCTGATGTCTTTTAAGTTCCTTATTCCTGATTTAGACCCACTGGGAGACATTTGGGCCATGACATTTTGTTTGTAATGCTTAGATCTGACCAGTCTCCACCAAAGCGGGCACTCACTTTGTCTCATTTCTACTAGGTCCCTGGTGTGTGTCCAAGAGTCCCCATTTTCTGGTTGAGGAGGTTTGGATGGAGCAGCAGACAGTGGCTTTTCTTTTCCCTTCTATCTTCTTCCTGCCAATCTATACCTGAATCTGCATAGCTTTCCTTTTAGAATATGAGTGACAGCTGACATGTTCATTCATGGTTAATCTAAGTTGGTCTTAAATGTGATTTCTGTTGTGTACAGCTCTGGCTTCATTAGGCATGGAGTTCACCTGGGTTTTCACCACCTGTCTGCAGCATTCCACCTCTGTGGAATTCAGTAGAGCAAACATAATGGGAAAGGGGTTGTTTCTCCTTCAGTCCTTTGTTTACATCAAGGAGCCAGTCTTGGTTTGATACCAATGTACCTTTGACACTCTGTGATACTACTTTAACAAAAGAATGACAAGAGGGCTGGGCATGTGGCTCAAGCGGTAGCACGCTCACCTGGCATGCGTGGGGCGCTGGGTTCGATCCTCAGCACCACATAAAAATAAAATAAAGAGGTTGTGTCCACCGAAAACTAAAAAATATATATTAAAAAAATTCTCTTTCTCTTTAAAAAAAAAAGAATGACAAGACCCTTGTTAGGCAGAAGTGTCCAACTAGAACTTAGTCACATTGTTTTGTTTTGGTTGTATACATCTTTTTTATTACCTTCTATTTAAAGTGAGCAATGCCTATAAAAGGGAAGGAAAAGGTGTTTCTTTAAAGATTTAATTTTTTAAAGTGAAGTAATTAAATAAAAATAATCAAGTAAGTAATTGTAGGGGTTGGCAAAACTTGAGAGATCGCAGAATAAAATGGTGTAAGGATACAGTAAAAAGAGTCTTTGGGCAACACTTCAGAAACTGAGAGCCAGAAATGACTGGATGCATCACTGTCTGCCAGGCTCCATCCCTCCCCATGGCCCTAGACTGTGAGCCTCAAGAGGGCCGAGACCACGTCTCAGAGATCTCACCATTGGATTGTGGGAACTAGTAGGTGCTCAATATTCACTGATTAAAATACAGGTGAAAGGATAATTATGTACCTCAGGTCCCTTGAGAACACTGAGGATTAGAGGAACAGGCAACTTTCCCAGGATCTCAGACATTTTGTGGCTGAATTGTGGTTATGGACCACACCTCCTTTTTTAAGTTCCTCTGCATTCCCAGCCCTGAGCCCTTTTCTCTAGCTCCCACTGCTTTTTAGGGTACAACAGTTGTTATCAGATGTTGTGCACAGAGAGCATTTAACTCCATTTTTTTTTTGAAGTTGTAGATGGACATGATACCTTTATTTTACTTATTTTTATGTGGTGCTGGGGATCAAACCCAGTGCCTCACACTTGCTAGGCATATGATCTACTACTGAGCTACAACCTCAGCCCTTAACTCCCAATCTTCACAAGTGGTGGTTGTTCTTGAGTCATTGACCCATGACCTCTATTTTAAGAGTGTCTTTTTTTGAGGGAAGGGGGTTGGGTAAACAGTGATTGAATTCGGGGGCTCAACTACTGAGCCACATCACCAGCCCTATTTTGTATTTTATTTAGAGACAGGGTCTCACTGAGTTGCTTAGCATCTCACTTTTGCTGAGGCTGGCTTTGAACCCACCGTCTTCCTGCCTCAGCCTCCTGCACCACTAAGATTACAGGTGTGTGCCACCATGCCTGGCCCTTAAGATTGTCTCTTTTAAGCCCTAGTGCTTCTGTATGCCCACTGAACTTTGCATGGATGCAGTTAGAGCTTAAATCCCTCATCAGACTCCTCCCTCCAATTTCCTCAGCAGAATTTTTATCATTTTATTAATTCAGTATTTTCTTTTACAATACAGACCAGAGTACTGATTATTGAAGGGGGAAAAAAAAACCTTCAGAGGTTTAATGAAATCTGATATATTGCCTTTTGAAAAACAAACAGTAGCAACTGGTTAACTATTTCTTCAAAGGCATTCCTAGAAAACAGGAAGGACATCACTGTAGCATCACACAGGGATTGGCACTTTAGCACGCCTGCCCAGACACCTGTTTCCGAGGCATCCTTGTGAGGAAGGAAGTGCTGCATACTTTGAGCGAGGGCAGTAACTGGAACATCTGTGTCCTCTCCACAGATCAACAGTGGGCGCCCTGCTGGCATCCGAGGTAACCTGTTCTAACAACTGTGTGTCCCATTATGTTCTTGTCCCTTTGCTTTCCCCCCTTTCTTCTGGCCTATGGTGATTTTGAACCAGACACCTCTGCATGGCTTAGGAACCATTGGAGCAAGTCAGTTTTTCTCCTTGGTAATTATGAATAGTGGTAAATGAAGGGGGGGGGGCTTTTCCCTGGTGTGTCGATAGGGGATGTCCTGGCACCTACAATGGGGAGGAAGGTAACAGTGTTGTTTCCACACTGCCCGTTAGTAACATAGCCCTACTGCCTGCCACATACTCTCTTTTCCTTTGTTCTTTAAGCTGGGATGGAAATTCTATGATGCAGATGACTATCATCCAAAGGAAAATCGAATGAAGATGGAGAAAGGGATACCATTGAATGACCAGGTAACTTTGGCTCTCTGTGTCCAACATGCATACTCCACCTGGTGTTGAGATCTCTATCGTGCTTGGTGTAGTGGAGTTCCTCAGTCATGAGATAACCAGAGGATGGGCGCTCCAAAGAGCCAGCTGCATGGTGGGTCCTGCACCTGTTAGCTCTGGCCCTGACCCTCCCTGTAAGCTTAGCACTAGGAGCAGTGTCACCCTCTGCCCCGGCTTGGGAAGGGTCTGCCACAACACCTTGCTGCCAGGTATTAGTCTGCAGAATGTAGAGCCTCCCTGAGAAGGCAGAGGTCCCCTGTGTCACAAACAAGGGGAAGTTCCTCATTTTCTCCCAGGCCCGATCAGCCAACCACTATCACTAGACTCTGACAACCACCCCAAGGCAAGAGTGATCTTGAAAATTCAGCTGTGGCCATGTCACCCCTGCCTGAGATCCTTTAACGGCTTCCTACTGCTCTCAAAGTCCAGGTCAAACACCTAAATTCCTAAACATGTGCAGGCTGGCCTCCATGCCCACCCGCCTCCAACTTATTTTAGATGCTGTGAGCCATCCTCTCAGTCCCTCCTGCTACCATGCCCCTCCCTGAAGGACCTGTGTATCCACTTCTGCCAGGAATGCACTTCCTTTCCTCTTCCCAGAGTGAACCTGCTCATCCTTCAGATCTCAGCTCCCATACCACTGCCTCTGCAAAGCCCTCCCTGACCAACCTCTGAAGCCTCCATGACGAACTCTCAGAACACCATATACCTGTTGTCCTTGTCCCAGTCGTACCTCAGCAAATATTAGTGTGAGAATGTGATTAATCATCTCTGCAACTAGACTTTACCCCCAAAAGGGCAGGGACTGTGGATTTATCTGTTAACCATTGTAACCCTAGCCCTGACACAGAGTAAATGTCAGAAAATATTTATGGCATGTTTTGGAGTGCATGAATGTGTGAATGAATGGCACAGTCCTTTATGCACAGTCATGAGGCTACATCCCAAAGAGTCTTTCTCAAACTGGAATTACAAACTCTTGAATTCACCAGCTGAAGGAAAAGTAATTCAAGAGAGAGTGAGAGGGCCAGGTCAAGAGCTGGGTCCATCCACACAGCAGCAAGGCACGTCTTACTCCCTGGGCTAAATGTGTCCAAAGGGCAGGAACAAATGGAACTGGCCAAAGACCAACGCTTGTTTTACTTTTCATTGGCCTCAGCTCACCCTCCAATTTCATCATCTCCCTTTGCTCTGCCTTGAAAGGTGAGAGTCACAACCATTATTCAAACTGTTCTAGAGAACTCTTTGGCACTTCTCCTTGTTTTGGGAAGTGTCACTTGAGTTTGCAATGGTTCAAGCCTTGAGCCAGCAAAATGACGTTTGCAACATCTGATTTTAGAAGATATGGGACATGGGGCAAGGAAACTATGAAAGAGACACAGGGTAATAATTTAAATAATATTGATATCATACTAGAAATAATAAACAATATAGACAACCTGGACCCAACACCACGCTCTGTGACTTTCAGAAAATGGATTAGCATCTTGATGCCTTATTTTCTTCCTGTAGATTTAGAATGGTAATAGGACCTATATCAGTGGGTTCTAGGAAGAATTAAATGAAATAATAAGAAAAATATGTGCAGAATAGTGCCCAAAGCATTCAATAAATATCACTTTTTTATTACTATTTCTAGTGTTACACACAGATCCACACACATAAAGTAAATCATTATTTCAGATGTAATTGTGCTGGTATTATTTTGTGTTTCTCTTTGGTGAGTGACATAAAAGGTAACAAAGCAAAGCAACCCAATGGATGGTTTTTTAAAAAATATTTATTTTTTAATTATAGGTGGACACAATACCTTTTATTTTATTTTTATGTGGTGCTGAGGATCGAACCCAATGCCTCATGCATGCTAGGCGAGCACTCTGCCTCTGAGCTACAATGGATGGGTTTGTTGTTGTTTTTGTTTTTGTAACAGGGATTAAACCCAGGGGCACTCAACCACTGAGCCACATCCTCAGTCTTGTTTATTTATTTATTTAGATACAGGGTCTCACTAAATTGCTTAGAGCCTTGCTAAGTTTCTGAGGTTGGCTTTGCACTTGTGATCCTCCTGCCTCAGCCTCCTGAGCCTATGAGATTACAGGCGTGCACCACCACTCCTGGCCTAAACAGATGGGTTTTAAAAATCATTGAACAGGCATCACTGTTGTTTACCAATGATGCTTGTTCAGTAGGCTCTGTGAATGGGGTAGGTAGAATCCAGAAAAGGAATTTGTAGACAGGAGAAAAGCTGTCCCTGCCCTTTTCTTCCAGTGGCCACTGGAAGAAACACAGGTTACAGTGGTGCCCCCTTACCCATGGGGAGTACATTCCAAGACGTCAGTAGATGCCTGAAACCATGGGTAGTACCATACTCTGTGTGATGATGTTTTCCTGTGCATATCTTAGTTAAAGTTTAGTTTATAAATTGGGCAAAATAGGAGATTAACAGTAACTAATAACAAAATAGAACAGTTATAACAATATGCTATAATAAAAGTTATTTAAAACTTGTGAATTTTTATTTATGAGTTACATTTAAAATTTTTAGACCATGGTAAACTGGGTAACTGAACACTTATAAAGTGAAGCCATGGATAAGGAGGAGCTCTGCACTTTCTGAATGTATCCAAGAGCAACTGCAAGTCAGCCATCCTTAGAGAGAAGCACACCAACCTCAGATACAAGAAGGAAGAACAGCAGGTGTTTTTCATATTTGACAAGAGCTGAGGGAGTCTAGGAGTGAAAGTGTGGGTCACAGCTGTGCTGGCCCTGTGCCCTCTGGTTGCCCTGGTAACTAGTCCTGTGATGCTGTGCTGAGGAGCTGTACCATGTGGATCAAACTACAGTGTCAGAGGCTGAGGCACAGGTTTGACTTGATGAATTCTAGGGGAATTTGGGGATGTTTTATGCTCAGAGAGCTCAGGGCTAAGATCTAAGTTGAACTATCAAGGGCTCCTTGAGGCCATTTAATTGTTAATTAATTAAAATGAAATAAAATGTAAAATCCAGTTCTGGGTTGAACTGGTCGCATTTCATGACCTCAAGAGCCACATGTGGCTACCCTATTGAACAATACAGATCTAGAACATTTTCATCATTGCACAAAGCTCCATGGACAGTGACAGCCTGGAAGGATATTCCCCCCAGGCTGGGAAAACTGATTAGAATGATGATGATGGTATCAATAAAGAATTTCAAAGCTCTCAATCAGCGCATCTCCTCCATGCATCACCCTGCTGTCCCACGGTGATACCCAAGTAGACTTTAAGGTCTGTTTGAAAAAGAGAGCTTTTACAGTGGCTCAGGAGGCTGAGGCAGGAGGATCACATGTTAAAAGCCAGATGCAGCAACTTAGTGAGGCCTTAAGGAACTCAACTGGACCCTGCCTCAAAATGAAATATAAAAAAGGGCTAGGGATGTGGCTCAGTGGTTAAGGTTCAATCCCTGGTACCAAAAAAAAAAAAAAAAAAAAAAAAAAGGAAAAGAGAGCTTTTAAAAATAATAATTCTCCTTACTGTAAATGTAATATTTGTCCCAGTATTAAAAGAAATCTGCAAAGTACCAATTTTTTTTTCACAGATATATCACCCTTGGTTTCCTCAAAAATATTTACTAATTGAATTTTGTAGTTTTCCCTTTGTGTGTGTGTGTGTGGGGTGGGGGTGTTTATACATGCATCCTTTCCTTTGTGTACTTAATTTCTGTACCAGGTAAAAACCAACCCTCCTCCCCTCCTCCCCTCATATGCTTTCCACCCTCCCTTCCCCTTTCCCCCAACAGAGCTGATACCCTCTACCATCTCTTCCTCTTCTCCAAAGACCCATCACTTCCAGAAGGCACTTTCTCTATTTGTGTCCATCAGAGCACTGAAACTATAGACCAAGGAAACCTGTGGCCTCCTGATGTTCTGACTTAACTCTTGGAAGAAGGTTTACTGTGCTCCCTCTGAGCCCTGGGCTGGGGGTAGGGGTGCCCCATACCTTTCCCATCATTGCATGTGGGGACTATGGAGAGTGACATGACCTTGAACATCAGAACCAGCAGACAGGAATGCAAACCTGAGTTGTTTCCTCCTCTCTTTCCTCTAAGACATTTTTTGTGGGTTTGACACTTGTTATTTATTATGCTGTCCAAGGTATCTGTTCAGAGGGTACATTGCTCTGGGTATTTGCTTCTCCTTCTGGTCCCAGTTTCTTCATCTGTAACAAGATATAGATCTTTCCCTTTATTCACAGACATCAGGAACATAAATGTGGAGCTCACACATCCAAGTTCTTCCTCCTGCCCCTATAATAAGGTCTGAATTCCTTAGCAGGTCACTTAGATCTTGGCTAGTGAATCAGCATCTCCTGACACTCCTACACTCAGCTCTCCAGACTCTGCTCCCAGAGCTAAGTAGCTGCTTTTCTTTTCTCCAGTTCTCAGGATACATCTTTATGCTCCTAGTCTCAGATCACCCCTCCCCTCTGCTTGGCAGGTCCTTCTCCAGTTGAAATCTTCCTTATCCTTCAAGATTTGCTCTTCTGGAGGCCTTATCAAAATCCACCACTCTCCATACTGTGTAGCTGTGGCCCTTAGCATCTCTCTCACACCCTCATCACTGCCCTTGCCCTACAGCTCATCTGTTCATCTGTCTCTTCCATCAAGCTGTGATTCCTATGAGAACAGGAACCATGTCACTCATGTTTGTATCCCCAATGCTCAATTTGGTGCTTTGCTCATTATTAACAGTCAGCATTTGTGAAATTAAATTCCAGTGTCTATAAATTCACAAATTAAAACTCTTGAAGATTCAAAGTTAATTTCAACCCTTAAATCATGTTTAAAGTGAAATTGTATTCGTTTTCTTATTTAAATCCCAAAGCAGCTCACTAAATTATATGATACCCATTTTTCAGGTGAAAAAAAGAGAGGCACCGAGAAGTTTAATAACTGGAGCAAAGCCACCCAGCGAAGGGAGTCTCTCTAACCTTAAAGGTCATACTTTTCCTGTTAGGTTAATGACCTTTGATAATTCACAAAATATGTGATTCTCAAGAAGTGAATCTGGGTTGGTTAAATGGAAAGAAAAAGGTTAAGAGTGGTGGGGGATGGGGAGCAGGAAAGAGGTTGAATCCTCATCCTCATGCATGAAGCTTCAAGGCCCTATCTCCCTACTTTGTTACAGCTTTCTGTTAAAGGAGCTGCTTTAGAAAATATGTATGTTTAAAAAAAAACAGCTTATAAAATAATGTTATCTTTTTCATCTCCACTAGTCCATAAATGTGGTAGGAAAACTTTGCTAATCACGAGGGGAATGCAAGAAAGACAGGAATTTAGAACTGTGGAGTCTAATGGTGCCTTAGAAGTTAACTCAAGGGCTGGAATGTACCTCAGAAGTGTGGCACTTGCTTAGCAACACAGCCCTGGACTAGATCCCTAGCACCAAAAACAAAACAGAGTAACTCAAATTCAGAGTGATCATGTCTAGAGTATGGACCCAGAACAGTGTCTAGGGCCCATTAAACACATAATCCCCACTTGTAAATAAATGAAGGAAGATGGAAATCCAAATTGGTGCTTCAACTGGCAGCCTCTGCCCAGGAGCAATTTTTCATCACAAAATACTGCACATTTCAGTCAGTCCAGCTCATTCTCCCTGTTTCCTAAAATCTTTGACACCTTCCCTCCTGCTTCCCACCAAGCCCAAGAAAATTCTGTTTTGCAACTATAGTTTTAAGTTGCATTTCTGGGCTACATTTATGTAGCCCTTAAAAGTTTTTTTCCTAGCAGATTCTCTAGAACATCTAGCTTCTGAGAATGATGTCCTGTAGAATCTTGATAATAAAAAACATTAAATATATATGCTCTTCTCCAAGAGTCTCCAAGAATCTCTCCATATTTCTAATTTCATTAACAGAGTTCTTGTGGTCTGCAAATTGGGAGCTGGTAGTCCTCATCATCTTGTTATTGCATCTACAAATGACCACACTTGTTCACTAAAGGCACTTAGACAAGTGTTGGCATAAACTGATGTTTCATTTGTTGAATCCATTTAAGCTACAATGTGTATACATAGCAATAGCTATTGTAATTTAAATAATGTTTTTTATGAATTTTGTAGCTGTTGTCCCTTAGGATATAATTGGTATAAATGACAGAGCTGTTTTCCTTTGATTTCTACCTTGTATGAATTTTATAGCTATTGCATTTGAACTCCCAAGATCACTGGGTGAAGTGTGTTCATGAAAGTAAAGTCTTAGAGGTCTATGATTAGCAAATCTTCCAGGATCCTCAATCCAACTTTAGCACACAATGCTTTAAATTAATTTGTTTGATGAAGAAAAAACATTTATACTGCACAGTTTTCTAAGGAGGGTTTATGATTTGCTGAGCACAAAGTGATAGCCTTGGTAGAATAAACTTTCAGTCACTGAACACTGAATTACTCTGAATAAGAAGTAGGAAAAGCCTGAGCTCGGGGCAGAATCTGGGAGCCAAAGGTACTGGCTCAGAGCTGGGGAGCTGAAAAGGCTCCTTGTGGAAAAGATCAAGAGAAAATTAAAATGACCTAAGGCTTGACCAAAGTCTAAAGCAAAATGAGAAAATCTCAGGTGTTAGAATCAAAGTAGCAAGATTGAACTAAACTGGAATAACTCCTTCCCCAGGTTTTGAAGCTGCCCAAGGCCAGGAAGGCAGGGCTGTTATCTGGTGTCCCTGAAGAGATGGGAGAGGAGGCTATAAGCCTTATATAAAACACATAGCCCAGGTATCTTACTTTATGTTATCTTTACATATTTTGTTATCTTTACATAAAGTAAGATACCCTTAGTTTGATTTGATGGCTGCCTTTGTAATGATTACAAATATTTGCCACCAGTAACAAAATATGGAAAAGAAAACATATTTGTACTCAAAAGCAGCAAAGAATCTGGTGACTCCTCTGGGCCAAGGTGGGAAAAGGCATCCTTGAGAAACCAGAGCCCCACCTAACTCCCAAATGCACACTATAGTGGCATAGAAATACCCAGCTGAATAAATGATTTAAAAAAACTTTTTCATCTTTATTTTTCATTGCACTATGGCCAATAATCAGGATGTACTCTGGGAAGGAGGAGAGAGCCATGTCTAAAAGGATTTCTTTGTGAGACACTACGGTTTGCTGTGTAAACTTCCTCCGTTTTCTCTTTAGCAAAAATACAAATTTCTCACAATTTATTTATCTGAACAGAGTTTTGTTTTGGAAAGTTCAAAGATTGGCATAGGGTATGTGTGAATACCCCTTTGCATTTGAGATATGTAAGGAAAGCAGCAAGAGATGTGTCAGCATACCAGAACAAGGGAAAACATACACCATGGGGATTTTCAGGGGTAGATAATTAATGGTGCCTTAAGGCAATTTTTATTGTTATAAAAGAGTCACTGACACCCAAACCAAGAAAATGTTTCTGTGGTTAATGGCCCACTGACTTGGCCCCTCTCCCTGGTATATGACCTACTTCTCGAAACAACTGGGTCTTAACATCTGTGAATATGACATAGTTGTTTCTGTACAAACTATACCTGGAAGTCAATTTGTGTCTGTTTTAATTTCAGGACAGGATTCCATGGCTTTGCAATTTGCATGACATTTTACTAAGGTAAGAGACCATAGGGCTTTGGCATCAGCCAGAAAGTAAAAACTTGCATGAGAAAAGACAGTGGTCACAAGTCACAACCAGGTAATGATAAAGGATCCCAGAAATAGAGTCCACTCCTTTCAAGTAATGAACACGGATATCAACGAGCCATGGACAGCACATACGTTATTTGGGCTCTGGGGACAGATCTCCCACCAGCTCCACAATTTCTAGCTGGCAGTCTTGACAGCCATTCAGTTTCCACGCCTGTTTCTTAATCTGTAGAATGGGGATAAATATAGTTCCTACTCACAGATTATTGTGAGAAATAAAATGATGTATGGATTAGGTTCTAAAATGACTAATATACAGTAAGTCCTTACAAAATTTTAACTGGTGCCACCCTTCTTCTATGTGAATGTGTAATTACATACATTTCCAAGAGTAGGCTAAATCACACATTAAGTTATGTAATAATTCAAGGACTTGGAAGAGAGAAGAAGATGCTATAGCCTATCTTAGCCATTACTTTTTCTCCCCTTTAAGTTGTGACAATCAGGAAAGACTGGGGTCATTTGTAAGTCAACACATAATTGTCCACCAGGATTGGAGAGACCTGCATTATCCAGCTCTCTATCATGCCTCTAACAAGATCCTTCCACCTGGGGCCTGACCCCACTGGAAATTCTGGTTGGGACTGGTAAAGGATAAAAGGCAGGAAATGGGTTTGACTTTCTAAGATGAAGTCATATTTTATCAAATTAATACCATCTGGACCATATGAAGTTAGAGTATACTTATGATTAGAAATTCAACTTGCTCTTTTCACACCCTATTGACATGGCTGGGCTTAGGGTTTTACTGTAGAGAACTCCTGCCCATCTACTGATGTCAGAGTTTCTTTACTGTAATACTGACCAGTAATCAAAGCAGAAGTGACAATCCTCAGGAGGGCCTAGACCAGACCTCTAGATTGAGAATAAACAAGCTCACACCATGGCTATGGGGCAGACCCTATGGCTAAGCCTGTAGGTTGGGTTCTCAGCACATTCCATCCAGTGGGTCCCAGTTCGACTTGGCCATAATATCAAAGGAAGGCCCCTTAACTTTCTATCAGATACTCACACCAGCATTTACCCTCACCTCTTAACTCTAGTCATAGCCTAGCCCCAAGATGAATGCCAGCCACACACTGTAGCCCAGTGGAACCATGGTTCACTCTCTTGTGTGTTCTCTGGCCACACAGGTCTCCCCTTACTGGTGCTCAGTTACACTGCCTCTACTTCTGGCTCCAGTTTTCTCCTTGGTACATCCCTGGAAACTTCTCCCATCCTGTTCACCTTGCCCACACAGGGACTGATGCTCTCTTCTGCCCTTTTCTCTAGCTCTGCACTGGCAACTACTCCCACCCTTCCCACCATGCTGCAGAATGTGGATGGGGAGAAGCCAGTTGTGGAGTGCAAATCACTAAATGTCCTGCAGAGGACCTGATCCAACCATTTGCACTGCACAGGTACATGCCAGCGGCTCATGTCCATACACTGAGGCTGAGCATGTCCTGCATCCATAGGAGCAGTCAGCAACACTGAGCTCTTCTGTATACCAGGCATATCAAGCAATTATTTTCCCTTAGGACAGCTCTATAGCAGTTAATGTGGGTAGTCCCAATTAACAGATGATGAACTGACCCCCCAGGAAGTAAATACTTTTGTCTGAGATTCTTCTGTTGACTAGTGGAAGATCTTTAACCCAAAGCCAGGTACGCTTGATTCTTAACTTGCATTTTCTGACATTTTTCACTGACAGAGAAGTAAAACTGGAGCCCTCCACCTAGAATTAAGACTGATTATTTTAGCTAGGCATGGTGGTACACACCTGTAATCCCAGAAGCTCAGGAAGAAGGAGGATCACAAGTTCAAAGTCAGCCTCAGCAACTTAACAAGACGCTGTCTCTAACATATTAAAAAGGGCTGGTGGGGGCCGGGGTTATGGCTCAGTAGTAGAGTGCTTGCCTACCATGCATGAGGCACTGGGTTTGATCCTCGGCACCACATAAAAATAATAAAAACAATTTTAAAAACAATCTAAAAAAAAGAAAAACGGCTGGGGATGTGGCTCAGTGGTTAAGCAACCCTAGGTTAAAAAAAAAAAAAAAAAAGACTGATTATTTTAAATGTCTTAATTATTTAGCCCCCTACCTCCCTCCTTTCTTTCCTTCCTTTCTTAAACAGAGATGTAACCTCAGGACAGCATGTGGTTCTAGCCTGTTCAGCCTTAAAGAAAACATACAGAGACATCTTAATTCGAGGAAAAAATGGTGCACCTCTGAAGTCTGGGAAGTCGAGAGAGGAAGAAAAGCCAGCTGAGGTGCAGCTCTTGGTGGTCCATCTGAGCGGGTCATTTGAGGTCATCTCTGGACGCTTACACCAAAGAAAAGAACATTTTATGCCGCCTGCATTATTACAGTCCCAGTTTGATACTCTGGAGCCCCCATCACCTCCAGAAAACTTCATCCAAATCAGTGTAGACAAAAGTCTTTCAGAGATCGTTGCTGTAATTATGGAAACTCTGAAAATGAAATGACACACATCAGTGGTCCAGAACAGAATCAGTCATAGATGTGTCCTATTCCAGACCTTGTTCCAGTCTCCTCATCCATGCTGTATTCTAAATGCTTCTTAAGGTTGAACCAACCTTGGTGTGTCAAGATGTACGTGTTTGTAGGAATTTGTGATGTGCTTGGCGTCATGGGCTGTCACGTAGGGAGAAAAGGAAGGGAACTTTAAAAATCAAGCTTAAATTGAAGTTTAAATTCATCAGTGATGCCATCAAATGACCAGAGGAAATTCTGTAATTGATGATAGAAATCATTACTTTGCTTAGAACATTTTCCACTAATGCCTATATTTTATAATAAATGAAACTTGATTCTATCCTTGAAATCCCCGGTAATTGGTCTCTGGAACAGAAATGTGTGCAAAATCGGCCATCTAGTAGAAAGTAATCTCACTCCACACACTGCCTAATCTGTTCACTATCCTTGAGCTGCAGTTCTAGCAGCAGCTCCTACGTTGAGATCTCAAAAGCCAATATGGGTAGAACAAGCAAGCCTTGCCCAGCTCTTCAAACAACCTCTGCAAATATATCAGCAATACCATGTTTCTTGCCTTTTAGCTAAAATTGTCATTTAATATGATATTGTCAGTAATCAGCCCAAAGTGTGCAGCAGTATAGGAATATATAAGGTATGCGATTCCAGGTTTTAGTGTTTGGGAGCACAGCATTAAATGATTCCATGCATGTGATTCTTCTCTGAGACATTGGGGATGCCCATTTTGTGCAAGTGTCTTTTGTGCAAATGTCCCTCCCAGCCCAGGCTGATCCTGTGATCCAAAATGAAGCCCTGCTTGCCAGAACTTACTCTCGGATTCCCAGCCCTGGGTGCTCATGAGTCAGCTGTGGAACACTCAGATCAGGATCCTGGGCTCCCTCGTATATTCACCGTCCAACAAAGAGCCACAGGCTTCAGACTTCTATGAGCTCATGGTCTCCCCACAATTTCATCACTTTACGTTGTTCTTGTATTTATTGTTATTTTGCTTGTATTTAAGGAAATTGACTATTTTTCATTCAAAGTAATGACTTTAAGTTTCTTTTAAAATGAAAAACATCCATATCTGCATCCCTTCATATGTGCAAGGGTTTCATTTCAAGACCAACTGGCCATACTCAAATCTTATATAATAAGACCTAGTATTTGCTTAGAACCTCTAGGCATCTTCTTGCAATATTTCAAGCCATCTCTAGACTACTTAATACCTAATACAGAGTAAATGCTAAGTAAATAATTGTCATACTGTATTGTTCAGGGAATAATGAGGAAAGCCTGTGCACGTGCAGTACAGAGGCATTTTTTTTCCTCAATGTTTCTATCCAAGGTTGGTTGAATCTGTGATGAATGTGGAACCTGTGCATGTGGAGTGCTGACTGCATATTTAAAGAAAGTAGGACATTTCAAGATAAAAAGCCAGGCGTGGTGGAGCATGCCTGCAATCCCAGCAGCTTGGAAGGCTGAGGAAGGAGGATGGTGAGTTCAAAGCCAGCCTCAGCAACTGAGGGAGGCACTTAGCAACTCAGCGAGATCCTATCTCTAAGTAAAATATTTATAAAGGGGTGAGGCTGTGGCACAGTGGTTAAGTGCCCCTGGGTTCAATCCCTGGTACTTAAAAAAAATGAATTCAAGATAAATAAAAAGTACACATGGTTCATGGATATACCAAAACTCCAAAGGTGAATTTGAGTGAATGAAACATGGGACTTTTTGATCCAGGCCTTCCTTAGTTTTAGAGGAGGCATTGGGGGTCCAGAGAAAGCTCTAAGACCAGTGGTATCTGCCTGTCCACCCGCCTGTGTAAAACCCATCAGTGATGGAGACTAGGTAGGCAGAGAAGTAGCACAAGAGCTGTTGTGGCTGTCATGAAACAACCTTGCCATGGGCAGCAAGGTCCTGCTGGCATGTAGCAGCTGGGCTGAGCAGCTTACTAGGTGGGAGGTAAGAGGTGCAGGTGTGCCCCTGGCACACAGCTTACAAAGGACCCATATATGGAGGCTGCAATCTGAGCAGCCTGGGCCTGATTACAGCCCTTCTTCCACCTACACTCCCAAGATGCATTATTCTTCTGTCCCATTCACTATCACAGAACCCAGCCACTGCCGCAGGCCCCTGGTTAGCTCTGGCCAGAGTAAGTTTTAGAATGAATTACTTCTTTCACAAGGGCATGCAGTCTCATACACATGAGCCTCAGACTCAACAGCTTACTGGAGAACTTTTAAAAGGGCACTTTTGAGTGGATGGGTTTTTTTTGTTTTTTTTTTTTTAATTTGATTTGTTTTGTTTTTTAGTGGATGGCTTTTGCCTAAAAAAAAAAATGTGAAGTCTTGGATTTTTCTCCCTGCCAAGCTATTTGGAGCACCTCTTATCTGGCTTTAATTTATATTGACCCTCATATTCAGAATCCAAACACTTAAAGTTATCCAATTAACATATTCCAGATAGATGAAACTCTGCTCCTGCACAAGATGGCATCAATGAACCCATTGTACTTAGTCCCCTGTGTGCTGTGATGGGCATTCTGGAGGATTTGAGGAACACAAAGCCTTACCTCTCAGGTGGCTTAAGTTTGGTTGGAGAGATAAGGCATCTAATACTCTCAGGCTATAGTCCTCATGAGAAAGGATGAATGTGGCAGAGCCCTTGAGAATAGGGATTTAGACCTGCAGAAAGATATGTTCTGGGTAGACTGTGCCTTACTCCCAGTTCCCTTCCCAAAACAGAAGCCAAATCACATTCCTTGACAAAAGATTTGGACCAGACCTCCACAGCTGCTCCACAGTTGGACTACCATTCTGGGCACTGGGCCCTCTGTCATGGTGACAAGAAAAGGACAAATAGAGGAAGACAGTGGTTCTCAACCTAAGCTGCATGTTAGAACCAATCACTTGAAGAAGTAAAACATGGATGCTTTCCCACGTGTTACAAGCCTACTGCACCAGCGTCTCTCAGGAGGGAGCCTGGGTCCCTGATCTGAGATCGGTAGCCGGCTCTGATAAGCAGCCAAGGCTGGGAACTTAGGGTAAGTTCAGGTCATCAGGACCCTGTTTTTGATAGTTTGTGCTGAGCACCACCAGAGAGCAGCTCAGGAAGACTTATGACAAAAGTAAAATTCAGGGCTGGCTTGGTTCTGACCAATAATCCCTACAACTTGCTACGGACAATATGCAACCTCTGAAGTGAAGTTTTGGGCTGACAGGGTAGGAAGGAGGTGCTGCACAGAGTGGCTGTTGTTTGGGATCACAGATAGAAGGGACCAAACAAAGGGGTGGGGTGAATTTCCTTTCTGGCCAAGGACACTGATTTACATGGCCTTGGGTATAGCAGACCACAGGGTAAGCTGGACTTGCTAAGACAGTCTTCCCAGAGGAAAAGGACAGCCTCTCCCCTCTTAAATGTTTCTCTTGGTTTTGTGGTTGGTTTTGAGGTTGAGGAGACCTTTGAGTGAAGTGAATACACAAAGACAAGGAAGATGGAGCAAGCCATTTCAAGATTCATTTTCAAGATTCAAGTCAATCAGATGATGAATGAATATTCTTACAATTACTCAATCATCAACAGAAGTGAAGTACTGATAGGCACAACCACACAGATGAACCTTGAACATATTGCACTAAGTGAAAGAAACCAAAAAAAATGCTACATATTATTTGCCATTTATTTTAATTATTTTTTAAATATTTTTTTTAGTTGTAGTTGACACAATACCTTTATTTTATTCATTTATTTTTATGTGGTGCTGAGGATCAAACCCAGGACCTTGCACATGCTAGACAAGTGCTCTACCGCTGAGCCACAATCCCAGCCCATTTAATTATTTTTTAAAACATAAAAACCCTTTACTTTTTCTGGATTTTCAAGAAATGGTGTGTTATTACCATACATAATAGTGGAATTCCTTGTTATATATTCATACACGTATGTAAGAATTTTACATGAAGCTATTTAGCCGAAAGATCCAGAGCAGGTGAATCTATAGAAATAGGAAGCATATTAGTGGGTTGCTATGGGATGAATAAAATGGGAATTGGGACTAACTGCTAATAGGTTCAAGGTTTCTTGTTGAGGTGATAAAATGTTCTGGAAGTGGATAGCAGTAATGTTTGCACAATGTAGTAGAATATACTAAAAACTACTAAAGTATATTTTACAGTGCTGAATTTGATGGTATGAAAATTACCTCAATTAAAAAAAAAATCAGTCCAGCAAATACACCACAATGTGTGAAGAGAGGCACAACTTCAGATCAAGTGCCAGCTCCCTCCCACTTGGAGAGAATCAGAGAGAGGGAAGCAACAGGCCTGAATACAGTTTCCAACCACTCACATTGAGGATAAATATTTTTTAATACAATCCCTAAGAGCAAGCCAGCTACTTCATCTTCACCCGAGATGAAGCACTAATCTATTCCCATGCTGGAGGGCAGAAGTTCATGTGGGACTTACTGAGAAGTAGACTGTGTTCTTCAGCCGTTCTGGATTTGAGGATACCTTTGACTGTAATTTGTGCTTTGTGAGCTGCCTTTCTATGTTCTAGATAGCCTCTTAGAGGCTGTAATGGTGAACTGGAGGCAGAACCTCAAGAAGTGGCTGGCAGAAATGAAGCTTCTTGTCTTGGTTTATCCAGCAGCCCCCACTCTCAGGAAGGGTACTGGGGAAAAAGAAATGAAGGTGGGACCTATCCTCAAGAAGCAGGGGTCTGAACAAGCAAACACATGACTCTAAGACAGTGTGACACAAGTAGGCACAGATAATAGGCTCCTATTCCAGTCTGGGGACATCTGGAAAACTGTGGCATCTCCAAGTGCAGTTCAGTTGTTCCAGCCCTCTAGAACCCATAAAGCCATTGGTTTTGTGTCAAAATGCTGTAGGGACATCTTTAGTGGTCACAATGACGGTAATGAATGGGAAACAACAGGGACTGCCATTCAGCAGACAAGGAACAAGACTTCATGCAGTACATGCCAGTTCTCAACAAAAAAGAACTGATTTCCAAATATTCTGTTGGACGTCGTGTACAACTAAATGAAAGCCTCCCCTCCCCCCATACTGGGGATTGGGTGCTCAACCACTGAGCTCCATTCCCAGTCCTTTCTATGTTTTATTTTGAAACAGGGTCTAAGTTGCCCAGGCTGCCCTCAAACAACCCACCTTCCTAAGCCTCCTGAGTCACTGAAATTACAGGAGTGTGTGACCATGTCCAGCAAACCTGCTTATTGTAACAATGCAGATCTATTTTATACATGAAAATACTTTTGAAGTTTTAATATACTCTGAAATCTCCAAGAATGCAATAACTTTGCATATAAAGGGAAGATAGTATTCTACCGTA